GGGGGGGGGGGGGGGATGCCGGGGGAGTGAAAGTCGAAAGTTTTGTCGACGATTCGTCGAGGGGATGATATTTGAAAACTTTTCACCCTCAACGGACGATACTTGGTCTTGGCTTTTTATTATTATTACGGCTCCTCCCTTATACGACGCTCTATGCATTGTCCCTCTGGTCCGTTTTCGTTACCCCGTGCTATTTTGATCCGAGCGACACGCGCGCCACCGGCGGCCGAATTTCGCACTAGTATCTTTTGCCGTTCGTTTTCCCCTGTGGTTCTTGGTTGAATTTTTTTTGTTTTGTTTTTACCGAGGCCCAAGACTGGTGCTTTTGTTTATTTTATAGTATCTTTTTGTTTCATTTATTTATCTTTTCTTTCCCTGCCGTATCTTCTACCCTTGTACCGCTTGCTCTCGCCCTGTTGCGGTGAAACGTGAGGGATCGAGGGATGATATTTCTTGGCGCACTTCGCACGAGGAATACGAAGTCCCAGCCCCTTCAGGCCCGCGACCCTTAATGCAAATGCCACGCGCAGAATGATATTTCACGTAAAATTAATGTATTCAAATAATCCATCTCATTTCCTCTCCCGTCAGGGTGTCGTGACGCAAGGCGCGCGTTGACAATTTTCAAAATTTGATAAATCGTATCACCGTCCCTTCTGTTTCCTTTGACGTCCGAAGTAGAGTCGACTTACAAGATATCGCAAAGTATACGTAGATTCGATTGTTCTCCCCCCTCCCCTCCCCCCCTGTATAAATATGCATTCGAAATTCCCGCCATTTTCGACGTAGCAAGAAGGGGAACGCTCTGCCTAGGTCCCACTGGGAATTTCCAATTAATTCGACCGTCCTGATCGATTAATCCTCGATTAATCGTACCAGACGCGATCGATCACTCTCGTGGCCACCCGAAGGGGCAGCTTACGAAAACAGCCGGGCGACTCAGTGAAAAAAGAAAAATGCTTAAACCCCATTTCCATATTCCTTTCGAAGACCCTTAAGGATTCGTTTTCTCTTTGTACGCTCTTTTCTACTAGGTTAGGTTAGGTCACATCCCGTACCTGCAAGGTAACCGGTGTCCTTGCGATCTCCTCGTTTCCATCTGTATACATATGTAGATTTTCATTGCGTGCACTTCCGTTCCACGAATTCCTCTTTCGTCCTTTCCTTTATCTTTCCTATATCACCTCCCACCCAGCCGCTTCCGCTTTCCAAGATGCCACCGAAAACGTTCGAGCTTCGAAAAACTTTTCCCGGCAGTCTCTCCTCTCCTACGTTCTACCACCTACAGCCGGAACTCCCAGCAGTCGGTTCATACCTGCCTGATCCCTATTGGAGCTTCTACTGATTTGGGATTCGACTATTCGTGGCTGATACGTGAATGGTAAAGGGGCGCGACGTATCCCCAGGGATAAAACGGTCTCTAAGATCCCACTAGAAATTTCTCTCCATCCTCCCTTGCTCCATCCTACTTCGATCTTACCTTGTAGAATCTTTCACCTCGTTCACTCTCTCTCTTTTGAAAGTCAGAGAGCACCTAGGAAACTTTCTCCGTATCCTCCGTCTCTCTCGCTCACCCTCGGTCTCGACTCTCAGCATAGACCAAGACGAAGCGAAGAGACATACGGTACTACCGACATAAATTTCTAGGTCCAATCAACGTAAAACGGTACTAAATTATTAGCCTAGGCTCTGCCCCATCTTACCGGGCTATAAGAACTACCCTCGATTGCAAGTCCATTCCGACAGTAAAAATCCACCGCGGTGTATTTGTGGACTATTTGTATTATTTTACAAGCCGATTTTTACCTTTGCCGATTTAACCCCGTGGGTACTCCGGTGCTCCCTCCGGATGACCTCACGATAAATTCTTCTACAAGAATTTGCTGCTCCGAGTTCCGTCTCGTTCATGGATTTATCTCCCATCCATACACCCAGGATATCTTCCCATAGTCTCCCTGTCTGTCTTCTATCTTTTCTCTCCTCCAATTCTGTCTATTTATCTTTCTCCCTCTCTCTCTCTCTCTATGGTATACCCTGTACCCTATACCTACCATCACCTAGACACTAGCTCGTTCGCCACTGCTATAAGACTCGGCGCTTCGCTCTCACTCGCTCCCTTGGCTTTATTATGTTTTGATTAGATGTTGCTATAGCAATCCAAGCCAATGCCCATGTACGTTGGTACACACGCCATGACTATCGATTCAGCTGTTGTACACATCGCCCTGTTAAAATCGTTCAGTCTCCGTTACGAACTTCCTTTGTGCTACGAGCTACGGTGACTTCGGGCTTCGTCCTAAGCGAAAACGCTTCTCTAATCGGAACAACGCGCGTTGTAGCTGTCAGAAGTGGATGTCGCGCAGCGCGAAATCCCATGCGAAATTTCGAGCTCGGGCCTAGCTAGAGGTGGAAGCTGGATAGAGTTGGTAATCCTACCGGAAGTTGGATTCTAGACCGGAAGTATAGATTTGCGGCCGATCCCATTCGATTCCAAAGATCAACGTCTAGATCCATTACAGCTGTCAGCCAATAATTACTTTCCGTGACGGTATTCATTTTTTTTTGTTATTCCGGTATTTTGTATTTAATTATAGTATCTCCTGTTGGCAATATTTATGTTGGTACAGTTGGTACGGTCAAGCACCCTGGTTTCGTCGTTTTCTTTATCACGCGTGGCCATTGACTGGATCCTTAAGAAAAACCCATCATGCGATCAATGACATCCTATAGTGGTCAGCTGGGACGATATACCCGGTGCACTCGTTATTTTAGTATCGCTCGGGTCTATAGAACCGTGAGAGGGCGTACCTAACCTGCCTGTACACCTACGTGTATTGCTTTCGGTGGAAAATATAGGTTCGCTTCCGTCCTCCTGTTACGCCTTTGTATCGTGTCCGCTCACGAGGATCAGTGAACAAGTGACTTTTGTGCGCGACTCACGTGCTCTTGCTTGGTGAACGCGAGTTCCTCGACCCGGTATAATTTGGGAATTTTTATCAAGGAAAGACGGCAGAGGCGTCCGCGACCTCAGTGCACAGTGATAAGATAAGATCTAATTGATAAGATCGATCGAGTTCGAATAAAAAGGTATTACCATAGCGTCTTGAGTATGATCAAGAATTACGTATTACTGGGTGTATACATATACAGTGATTACTTATACGATCAAAGCTTTATTTCCCAAAATGCATGCGAGGTTAGGTGGTCCAATGAAAAAGATATTTAAAAAATATCAAATATCGTGTACGATAAAATATTATAATATAGGCAAATTCCTAGCAGGTATACTTGGGTATCGCCTGTTTCGCTCTCAAAGCTGTTGGTTCACGAGATGCATGGGAGGTTAGGTTGGGCTGTCTCGTTGACTCGAAATTGTTTAATGGGCACAATGAGTATCGTTGGAGCATTTTAATTGATGGATGTTTCGTCTCTGCGTACAAGCGTATTTGCTATGGGACTGCTTTTCGTTAAACTATCTCAGCCATTCTATTTCGTTCGACCGTGTACATAACCACGTGCGTAAAGCTTCCTTCAGAAGTTCTGGCTGGTCTCCGGCCGCACGGAAAGACTTCGCACTAGGCACATCTAATTTCTTTTTGCTTCTTTTCTTCCACTTTATATAAAGCCTTCCAAGCGTCTCTACGGTTCGTTGCACGCGTGACTCATATAGGAAAGGTACATTGGTAAACTGGCTACTAGTAATATGTAAGCACACTGCTTTCTGGCTCGTATGGCCGGACATTAAGCAGCTGTCAGGCACGCATGTGAACTCGGCATAAGTCACATATGCACGCTCCTCGGCCGCTTCTACTATACTATACCCATTGTCAATACTAGACTCTTATGGTACCTATGTGAGTTTGACATGTCATTCGGGGCCTTCTGTACAAGTCGTACACACTGTACTTTATAGGCATATGGAAAATAATGCTGAGAGTTTAGTATACATGCGTACGAGTACAGTATTCCTCCTGATATGTGGAAGAGGGAGCGTCGATATGGTTTTAAAGCGGAAAGCGAAACCATGACGACGCCCCGCTCTGTACTGGTTGACGTCGCGACGCTACTTCTCCGCCAGTATTAAAAGACTCGAGGATTTTTTTTATGGCAAAAATAGAATAATCGAAGGGTCATTGGAAATTAATGGACTCGTTTATTCGGTGTCTGAAATAACAAAAATTTTTTTTCAGAAATCGATAATTTTTCTTTTTCGTGTAATATTTTTTTTTTGCGTTTCTTACGTTCTATTACAATATCGCGTAAGTCCTGTCTGTATTATAATTATACTTTTACTCATGCGCGTATATATGTATAGGTTTATCGAAACCATCAGATATCTTCGCTTCGTTCGTTCAATATTGACTCAGGCAACTAGGACGGGGGGAGATCTTCTAATTTTACGGATTCGAATCGGTGACGCTATGCAAATATATGACAGCCATTTTCTATCTACCTCTATGTTTACATGTAATTTACGTACTTGAGTTCCCCGAAATTTATACACGCACCAAGTACAGAACACCGGTCGTAGGAGTCTTATCTGGCTGATAAGCACCGACCTATCCCTATGTCTAGTATATAGTTATATATTTATACACAGTCTGAATTACGCAGTGTGTATTAAGGATTTACGTAAATTAAAAACAAAAATATGCATAAAAAATGATAATTTTATATTTCACGTATATTATTATTATGCAATAATTTCTTTTGCTTCCCAGCTGCTCAACTCACTGGCCACCGATTTGGATTGCATGCTGAGCGAACTGTGCACCACCCCGGATTCCTACAAACGGTGAGTGCAACAGACACGTCACATACTGTACCTGGTATATATCTTGTACAGCCACTAGCCATACGCCACAGAACTGTACCAGTACGAATTGCCATACCAGAGAATTCTCGCGGACGACTTAATTGACTATGATTTACGGTGATTCTATTCCCGTTTGACATTACGTCTTTTCTGTACGCTGTTTTGCTGTACGCAGTAAAGTTCCTTCTGGATGCGAAGAGGAAAGAAATTGATACGAGACAAAAGGGCAAATCCAGTATGGCTGTGGGTTAAATTCTGGGGAACGTCGGTATTACAGATTCCTGCTTATAACCATACATAACTTGAGAAAACGTATCCTTGGTATACTACGGGTCTTTAGCTTGATATCATTAATTCACCTAATTTATGGGGGAAATTTTGCAGAAACGTTCAACCCCCTCCCCGTTCCACCTCTCACACGGAATAATTTCCATATCGTAAGGCCCTCGTGATCTATGGTAGACTTCGCGTACAATATCCCACCGTTATGCTATATGGGACATTATATAAACGGGTGCTCGTCTCACCCTAAAGTGAATAATATATATATACATATTTCAGACAGTCACCATAAACTTCAATAATAAGCGGGCAAAGTTTATATACCCTAGGAGTACCCACGATACGTATGCTACTTATTGGCTCAAGTTAGAATATTTTACTGTGATTTTTATTTGATTAGTGTCAATGATTTTTTTTTTGTTTATCGAACCAACCACGACGTTATCGTTGACTGTCACGGGTGTCGGATGGTCTATATACACACCCCCCCGGTCAATGGAATTCATTATTTCAAGATGGGACTGTGGTCCATTGTCCATCCCATAATATTCTTCTACGGTGAATGATCGTTGAATAATAATAATATCGAAAGAAAGCAGCACCCCCGATCTCGTACACGTGGAAATATATCCAGCCACCTAAGAGAGCAGCATCCATGGTAACGGATGCTGGGCTCTCGTATGGCAGCAGTAGGGTTAGTCCGTAAGATTTAACATTCTAAGCGGGATATGGTATTCAGCCGAAGATGGACGACATCTTCCTGAAAGGACATTGAATTTCAATAGAGAATCGAGAATAGCTCGGGCTGACGTTTCTCCTCTGTCTTCTCCCGTTTTACTGGTCGGACGCATTCGGACGATCCTCGAGAGCGAAGAATTTTCTTGTATCTTGAGATCGCAAGGCTCGCGGAGATTTTATTTAAGGGCAAGGAGGGCGACGCATCTTGCGCCTCTTAGCAAGAAAGAAATGGCCGACAGCTGTTGGCTCTTGGGCGATTACGCATAATATCGCGTGGTTAATCTCAGGCACATGCTACCAATTGGATCATTTTACTTGGTGCAATATTCATTTTACAGCTATTTTGTATTATGAATTATACCGCTGGATGGGGTATTTACTGTGTAGCGAGACGCTGCTGCTTACAGTAACTGCCGGTGTATTAATAACCTTCTGTGCTCTCGATGTAAGATACGTTTTAGGGATTTTGAGGTAAACCTTGTATATAGATGCAGGCAGGCTTTGGATTGTCGCCCTTGGGGAGATTTAATAAGGGAAATGGGAAAATGATTAGGGGAGCGTAGATTAGATGGATGCGTGTGTGTATATATATATATATATATAGAGAGAGAGAGAGAGAGAGAGAGAGAGAGAGAGAGAAGGGGG